GTGAAGCTCTGCCTACAAATTAAGAATTCCTATATTCAGGGTGTGCTTGCAGTGGTATTTTCTACCACTGCCTGCATTTTTTTCAGTAGTGCATAAGCATATCTAAGAGAGTAGCTTGCAGGGAGATTTCCATCACCCCCAGCACAGGAGAAATGAGACATTTCTGATGTCAGCTCAGCTGCACCCAGCACTCCTCTCCCTCCCAGGAACTCTGGTAGGAGCTGCGGGTCTGAGGCGCCGTTTTGTTACTCCATTATCATGCAGTCATTAAGGAAACAACACTTTAATTGTTTTCTATCCGTGAGATAATGAATTACTCCTCTCTCTAAAACGGAGAGGCAGCAAAAAGAAGGAACATGAATACTCATTTCCTTTTCCAGTAAACAATTACAACACTTGTCAAAAAATATGACAATTGGAAAAAATCAATGTAAAATTTGGTAATAGCTTGGCACTTGCAATATTGCACAAACTCTCACCTAATAATCTCAACTAATAGCCTTACTAAAGCTGATTGGTTCCCTGAAATTAATGGTGCTTCCTGTGGGCTATGCTGCTTCTCAGCATGAATTAGACAAGCAAAAAAATACAGTTGTCTTACAAAGGAATTCTGAAGAAGATCTACAGTAATTCCCAGGGAGTTCTTTTGATTTAAAAAGGTAAAAAAGAAAAGCAAAACCAAACTCAGCCAATAAAATCAAATAGAAGAAGGAGGGTAAGAAAAAGTCACAACAGAAAACAATAAAAGTTTTCACAGGTATTTACCAACTTCTATACCCTGCACCATGCAAATGTTTAAATACATTATTACTAGATCTTCCAAAAGATAGCAAACAATTTCCCCCTTGAAGATGGCTTCCACATCTTCTCAAACCTGCTTTATACCTCAGATTTTCCTGAAAACACACGTACTGCCTAAAATCCCACAATTTGCCACCAAAATGTGCCACCTGAATTCAACACCGCCTTTGGAATTTGGCTTACAAACTCCTTTTCCCAGGCCTCAGCCTTCCACTGCTCACATTCTTAAGGAAGATGCTGAAAGGATCTATGTTGCTCAGGCTGGCATGCAGCTCCAACGCTCTTTAAGAGCCAATTTGTTTCTTCCATAAAACTTGAGAAAAGCACCAAACTTCAGCCAGTCCCTGAGGAGCTGTCGCCTTGCATCCCAATCCTGCCCATAATCAGTTCCCTGCACAGGGGGGCTCTGAACCGTGCCTGTGGCTCTCAGATGCTGCCAATAAAGAGCAAACAGTGAGAACACCAGCAGGTTTTCCCCGGGGGGATTGCATCCAGGCACTGGCCTTTCAGTGGTAAGCGAGCATCCAAACAATCAGAGGGGCTGCTCTCAGAACAGCTCCTGTGCTCCCCGGTCTCATGAGAGGTAAAGATTTCCTTCTCAGCAGCCACTTCCAGGCACACACACTTCCCTGAGCCCCGGCTCAGCCCTGGCCCTTGTTGCTCAGCCTGCCCTGCCCTCGATCAGTTCAAAGAGAAAAGGGCACAACAGGAACCAGCACAGCTCGCTGGTGCACTGTTTGCCATAGATTTCATGTCTTCTCTTTCTCCCTAAGCAGCCCCAGGTTCAGCAGCGTTGGCTGTACCCGGACACTGCTGTCTGCTCAGGCAGAAGTGCTGAAACAGGTCACTGCTGAGGAGGGGCCCCTCTCAGGGGCAAGCAAATCTCTATTTCAGAAAAACTGGCTCTAACTGGAGCCAAAAGCAAGGATGAGTACAGACTTTTCCCCAGGCAGGCAAGATTCCATTAGAAAACTGTTTCCAAAGGTTTAGGATAGACTGTGGTACCTGCCAGGTGAAATAAAGCCCCGAGCATCCTCAGCAGACTTTGTTCCACAAGCAGGTAAATAAGCTTGCTGCAGCTGAAGTGACACAACACCCAGCTTCTGGCTCCCATCGAGCAGAATCACCCAGGAAGCAAGATGTACTTTGCTGAAGGGTACAGAAGGTCTGTTCCCACTGGAGAGCTTTGCTTCCTGCTTTGGGAAAACTAAATAGGTTGATTATGTCTGCTACAGGCTCATAAATCCACATCAGCTGCTGCCTCAGGGACAGGCATTGCTCCTCTGGGTGGTTTTCTCCCTCACTTAGAGAAGATGAACAGCTGGTTACGTATATCACAGCTCCAGCAACACACTCACCCCTAGCCTTCTGCCCCTGAGGAGCAGGCTTCTGTCATTGAGACCACAGGAAAGCAGGAGGCAAAGCAGAGGCAGCTTATTTTCTTTTACACCAGCTTTTTCAGGTCAGAAGATAAAATGGTAGTCAGAGCAGGCATTGGTAGCTGGCTTCCCAAAAGGAGCTAGAAGCAGACCAAAGAACCCAAATTTTAAGCCTGCTAATGTAATTTTAATTTGTAAACTTGTTGTGATTGGTACAGACAAAATAAACTTATGTACTAAAAAAACAGCATGAGCATAGAGAAGACAGATTCTGCACTGTGGAGAGAGGGCTGGTGCAGAAATGTGCCTCAGAATACAGGAGCTTTCCCTGCAGTTACACGAGGCTCCAGCACCAGGGCCATGTCACACAGCCAGCCCTGCTGCCCAGGATGAACTTGATCCTGGCCGTGGCACAGCACACCCTGTAACCCACGCCAGCCTGGGCAGTTCTGACACGGAGTCACTGCCTGGGCTCACTCATCTGGGTCCCACACTGCCCACTGGGGCCTCTGGCCCAGGGGTTTGTCCCCAGGGACAGCCCTTATGGTGCAGACATACAGCAAAAAGGATCAATCATGAGCACATCTAGGAAAACCACATTACCACAAAGCTCCAGGAACTATGCAGCCCTGAATTTTTCTCTAAAAACACATATAGCTCCACTGATACCAACAGGGGCACATCATCTCATAGCCACTGCAAATCAAGCACAGAATGAATTGGGGTAACACTGGCATTTAATAGCTTCTAAGAGTTTTAAAACACGCTGCTTTGCATGCATGTGGCAAGCCTGCAAGGCACATAAAGTTCCTTTGTAGAGGGGCAGAAGTATTATCCCAGGAGCTCTCAACAGTCTGCTTTTCCTTTCATAGCTGGACGTGCCAAACAGACCACAGCCAGCAGATAAGGAATGCCTGCAGAATCAAAGTGCAGATTAGAGAGGCAGCAGCGGCAGCTGAGAGAACCATCCACCACAGCTGTGAGACAGATCAAGGGAGCTGAGAAAAGCTAAGTGCAGATTCAAACTTTACATGACATTCAGGAAATAAATAGGGCATTACAAGGCTGTGAAAACACTGATTTTTCCTTCTTGCTTGTTAGCCATGGACTCTGTGACATCAGCTGTGGCCAGCACTGCTGATGATGATGCCAAAAGGCACAAACACAAAGCAAAAGTAAACTGGCTCCTTCCCTCAGCTTAGAGGGGAGATTTCTCAGTTTTTGTGAGGATATATGCATCTGTTTTCAGCAATCTGCCACAGCAATGGTAAAACCTGGAACTTTTAATAAGGGGGTGCTCTGTGATTGAAAGGCACGGCTGAGTGTAAACCTCTCCCTGCAATACACACATTACCTAGAACTAACACAAGTACAGGGTTTGCAGACCCAGGAATGAATTAATGTCATGCAGTATCCAGGCAAAGAATGCAACAGACAATGCATGGACAAGGCCTGCAGTATTTCCCAGTGCTTTAGAGCTCAGAGGAGGCTCTCATCAGGATTCCTGTCCTAACACTTTGTCCAAAGGAAGCTATGCAGTATGGAAAGAGTCTCCTAGTAGGGACCCAAAAAGGCCAGGAGATCATAAATTTCCCTAAGGCTCTGATCAGGCATCCTTTGCCCACACTGGTGAGCACCTGAGGCAGCAGCATCTCCCACCACATTAGGATCAGCATTTATTGGTACCCTGGGGGCTTCAGGCAAGCAAAAATGCTGCACCTATGGGAAAACTAAATCTGCTGTCTGGGGTAACATGGGCAGAAAGCAGCACCAGCTAGGGGAACTTAATGCCCTTTAATAATGTATTGCTTGTTAAGCCAATTGATTCATGTTTGCCAGTGTGGAAACTTAACTTATTAGGCACCAGGTAGTTCAGTTTAATTGTCCTGAATTTCCAGGTGGGAACTCCAACCAGCATTTAAAAACAAATCCCTCTCAGTATAAGCCGGGGTCCATGCAGCTGGACACCAGCCAGATTCTGGCAGGTGCTTATCACATCCATGACAATGAGAACAGCACCTGACAAACAATGCTCTGTAACCCCAGCTAACACTGAAAAAACTTACCACAGCCATTGAGATTTCTTAGCTGCTCCCCAGAAGGCAGGGCACAGAGCCTTGCTGTTTTATCTTGGCTTTGCTCTGTTTAGGGACAAGAGCACCCTGAATACAAATGGCAGAAATCAAACTATGCAATTTTTTACTTTAGTGGCAAAAAGAATATTTAAAAAAAAAACCCAAAAACAAACAGTAAAGATCATCTTCCACTTCTTCAATATCATAGTCCTTTGATGTACAACAATCCCACCCTCTGAAATTTACCGTTTCCAAAAGACATCCTTCTTCTTGGTATGAGAACATAAATTCAAAATGAAAACATCACATGAATGCAACCATGCCCCTGATGTCAAAACAGGAACAGAATGTAAGAGTAAACACACAAGATGTACATGTCATTTGTCCTTTCCTGAAAAAGAGTGGTATGATGCTCTAAAGTCCATAATGTTCCTTGCAGCACAGCATCTTTTTGTATAGCTTGAACAACTCTCAAGGACTGTATTTATATATAAAGCCACTCACAATAAGCCAAATAAAATGGTTTGAAATTAAATTGCCAAACTGAACAAAAAAACACACTGTGGCAGCTTCAAACCTCCACCCCGTTTCCTGCTCCATCTCAACGCGGCCGCAGCTGCATTTATGCTGTGATGATGAAACTCCTACAATGCCCAGACAGCACAAGAGCTAAGACAAACATCCAGGGTGCTATTGAATTTCAATTGAAAATCTTACAGCACTTAAAGTATCCAGTTATTTTTACCTGGGGTTCTGGTGATTAACAAGCTGTGAATGCCAGATCCATCTAACTCACCCTGAAAGCACAGGAGAGGGAACCAAGGAGCAGGTCCTTAGCACCACTTACTGAAACAATACAAAAGTAAGAATTATTATTATTGCCAGCTCCACTATTGCACTTCAACTGAAAATCTGCCCTCCCATAACACAAAGGTAACTTGGCTGCCTCGGGAGATGAAACAACCAGCATTTTCTCCAGCTTAGCTTATATCATACCTCACAAGATGAAACTGTGAGAAACCAACTTTCTCTGTATGCCTCACATACACAGGTGCTTTTAATTCACAGCTCTGCCTTCTCTTCCCCTCCTCATCAGAGCGTCAGAGTATTGTGAATATCAATTAAGACAAGACTGTGGTACTAAAGGCTTAACATGCCTCACTACCCAATATCTGCATGCCTGCGTGGCTAAGCATCAGGCCAAAGCAGGAGAGGGTGTCTGCTTCAGGGGAAAGTGTGTAGCTGGGAATTACCTTCCAGTGGAAAATATTTAACCAGATGGGAATGTTATTTATACGTGATGCTTCCCATTAGGAGTGACTAACATTTACACTATGAAATATCTCCTTATTACAGCACTGGAGTTATGACATGCTTTTCATACTTGGCACTGGGTTTTTGGTTTTTTTTTTTCCTTCCCCAGCCCATCTATGCAAGAATCACTGCACTATTATGGTCTGGTGACCTGCTTAGCACGAAGCAAGGCAGCAGCCAGAAGATAAGGAAGGGAAGAGAGGCAGTGGCGGGGACTGGAGTTCGTCACTGAGTTGTGATTCATCACTCATTTATGCGGGATGCTGCGCAGCACAGGCAAAATCCAAGGACACACAGACGCATTTTCTTCTCTGCATATAGGTGGGGCTCAGTTCACAGGATTTCCCCTTCCTCTGACATTATAGATCTTCAAGGTTGCTTGTCCGACAGGGAACATGGATTGGAAATGCTCTGGGAAACCCAGAGTTCACCCCAGCTTAGGGCAGGTCAGTGCTATCTCCTCAAGACAGCTCAGGCTGCAAATGCCTCAGGACAGGAATTTTTTGGACCTGCAAAATTTTGCATGAGTCACTGTGTGCGTTCATGCAAAGGCTGTATTTTCCTTCCACAAGATCTTCTGCTTAAAGTTACGGTATGTCCAGTACATGTGTCTTTTTAAAGAATATTTATTTCATGTCCAGCAGCACAAAGTCTTGGTGCAGCCATTTTGCAGGTAAGCAGAGCCCAGCTTCCACACTTGGGACAACCTGGAGGTTACCAAAGCTTGGGAAGAAGGATGTATCCTTGATAGTGCACACAAAGAAAGCAGAATTTACAGGCCACAAGGACGTTTGGCAGAGCCCCCAAGACAGGGATGAAACTAATAAAGCCACCACAGCAACTGTGCTGAATCAGGTCCAAGGTAGTTCTGGCAGGGACAGATCACAGCCTCCAACTCATGGCCACCCACCCAAAAAATGCCCCAACCCAAAAGAAGAGAGTGGCTGAGCATATGGACTAATTAGCATGGGAAGCAAGAGATTCATGAAACAATGGAAGATATAATACTACTTAATAAGAAAACTGGGTAACTTGTAGCCAATGAACATGGATGTCTTTGTTTGCTAAAGTATATAAATAGTGAAAAGTTTTGGTAATCTTTGTGGTGGCTTTGGGGATTTGCCACCCAGCTCCCCTTTCTGTGCAGAACAGTAAATAAATCAAATATCTCAAATCTCTGTTTAGATTGGCCTCTTGCTCCCCAGGGAAAAGAACCTAATTTGGGACAACATCTCCACAGCACCAGGCTGCTTGCTGCCATTGCCACGCCCTCTCCAGCAACAGCTGCCCTACAGGCTGGCACAACCCCAGAGATGGGCCAGGGCAGATCACCTGGCTGCCTTCCACTCGGGATCTCTTCCTCAGCCCTCCCTGTGTCCCTCAGGCTGCAGGCTGGCAGGGCAGAAGCCCCTCTTACCATGACAGGGCAAAACCAGCTCTGCAGCACCCATTCACCCATCTGCAGTGCCCCCATTAAGCTGCTGTCAGCAGAGCCCTGCTGAGACAGCAGCCCTCAGAGCTGGTGCGTTTGCTGGCTGCACCTCAAGACCCCGTGGAAAGCAATTAAAGCTGAGCTCCCGAGGGCCAGCCCTTGCTGGGGAGCTCGGGGCTGGCAGGGCAAAGGCAGAGCATGTCCAGCCAGCACGTCCCTGCGTGCAGGCAGCCTGGCCAGGCACACCAGAGGAACCAACTGGAGCAGGCGCAGAGCCACGGATTCTCCTGTCTAAGCTTGGGTCATCCAAATCCCAGAGAGCTCAGAGGAGAATAAGTATGGAAAGGAAATTCCCCCCATTTCTTTCTGCTTGGGCTGTCCATCAAGTCTGTCCCTGTTTTAACAGGATCATATAGCAGGACTGGACAAAACTTGCGTGAGTATCCACGATCATCACATGCTTCCTTTCTTTTTTAAGTAGGAGTGATGACACATATTTTGCCTTGGGAAAGGCTTTCTTTGCAGACATAATCATTGAAAAGAGAGGGATACATGACCTAGACTACAGAAGAAACTCTGTTCTCAGAAAGCAGATTCAGTGGTTCACTGTCAAATGGAAAGGATCTTTTCCATGATGATCTCTCTTGGGTGACTTGAACACTTTCATGAATAATCTGGATGATGGAAAGGAACATGCTTACTAATCCTGCGGATGACAAAAGCTTTAAGGAAGTTTGACAACAGAGCTAGAATGAACACGATTTTGACAAAGCTGAAGAACAAACTTTTAAAAATGTAACCCGGTGAAGAAAAATGCAGTGGTCTACATTTAGTAAAGCTAAGCACCTATGTGAAACAGGGAAGAGCATGGCAGTGGTACAGGAATTCTTCTGGGGAGTTTGCAAGTAATCTTAAAATTAATATGTGTCAAAAGTCATATTGATGCAAAAAGATCGTAAAACGCAGTATCTGTAAGAAATCCCTATGGAGCAATAACAGTAGAGACAACAGTTCTCAGGCCTTGGCTGAAGTAATGGCCTCACAGAGCTACAGGCCAGTCAGACAGCCAAGGGTGCCAAAGGAACAGAAACTATGACATGACACATTTGTCATCATTCTTTCAACCATCCTGCACAAAGTGAAGGTTGAATGAAAACATAACTGACTGTCAGGTACAAGGAGGACTTCCCAAAACTAGGAAGGAATCCTCTAGGTATTACCTCCCAAAATGAAGGGGAAAAGCAATGACCTAAGGTGTCAGTAGTGAGAGTTAGAGTGAGCAGCAGAAGGGTGAGGGATGCTCTTTGGCAGCAGCCACCATGAAGCACCAGTGAGATGGCTTGGGTAGGCTGAGGAGCCACCACCATCAGCTGCTGGTTAAAGCAGGCTGGACAAACCTCTGCCAGGAATGACATACTTGGAGATGCTGGGAGCAGACCCTTGCAGCACTGAGGCTCCAGTTCTGGTCACTGGCAAGGATGGAAGTGAGGGTGTTGCTGAGTCAGCCCTCCCCAAGTCACATCGAGCATCCACTCAGCTTTTTGCTACCCTCTGCCTGCAGGAATGCAAACACCAGGCAGTTTCATGAGATTGACCAGTCCTCTGAACAGCACTGCTTAAAATACCTCCCTCCCTCCCGGGGCTATAAACAGTCTCGGTATATGAAATGCAAAACTGGAGTTAAGCCTCCGACTGGCCACAGGAAATACAAAATTGTATACTCTGACTTGAAGGGTTTATGTGAATCCTGTCAGAACCTCCTGAAGTGGAAGCCTCAGATCAGCCCATTAAGTCCCTTACACAGAAGCCTAAATCAGTGGCCTCATTTTCAAACACACACTGAGCACTCAGCAGCTCCTGGAACACCTAAGAGGAGATGGTGATTGCTTGTCACATCGGAGAACTCGTGCCACTTTGGTTCTAAAGTGTCGACCTGAAAGCAATTTTCTATGCAATTTTTCATAGTCCTAATCTTGGTGTTTTTAAACACCTTCCCTAGATTTTTTTTTCCTAGGCCATTGTTTTCTTTGTAACATAAAAATAAATATTTCACATTAAAGCAACTCCAAAACTCTAACTTTAGAAATCTTCAATAGGTGCAGAACTTCAGGCTGAGAACTACAGCACGCCGAAGATTTTACCATATCAAACAGAGTCTGCAGTCCCACATCCCCTCTTGCATTCATAATTACATTCTGACTCACATTATAATCACATTTGGGTCCCAGTCCTGCTTTGGAAATTCCATGGCTACAGGCAGGGATGTATCTTCCAACGCACAGCACCCATCTCCAGGTAAGATGTGTGGAACCATTATTGCCACACCCACGGGACAGAATCCTCACCATGTGAATGCACCAGTTCCTGCACCTGGACTTCTGGCTGCAAAAGCCTGTGGTGCAGAATCATCAACAGCCTCTTTAATAAACTGAGGTGCCAAAAGGAACACTGTTCTAGCATCAAATGGAAAGATTTTGTTGCTCTCTCTGTAAGATTGCTGGATTTTTCAGAGCTTAGGGATAGAGCAACTATGCTCTAAGAGGGATAAGAATTGGTTACCTACTCTTCTAGCAGAACAGAAAAAAATCAATTTTACTCCCAAACTCTATATCTTTTTGATGCAAAATGCATCAAATGCATGCTTCAAACTGGAATTCCCAACTTTTCCCAGAGTACATCCTCCAAAACTCTAAGAGCACATTTCAGGAATTTAGCCAGGAGGATGCACGGCCAGTAACAGATGCTTGGAACACTAATTAATACTCAAAAATAGGAGAAAGGGATCCACTTAAAATATTAGCCTATTACTATGGAGCACATGTGTTGGGCCAGCTTACCCAGGGTAGCAGCATGTCCACAGCAGGGAAAGAAAGAAACAGCTCCACTTGCTTTAATGACTGGTTTTCCTTGGATTATCAGCTGGCTTTCCTTAGTCTACTGCATTTATGTCAGGTGGTTTATTTTAGAGTGTTGCAATTCATACAGCATCAAGTTTGCTCTCTTTTCCCCATTCCTCTTCATAAACCTCACAGACAATGAAGGTGTTTATAGGGAACTACACACATACCAGAGAATAAAAACCCTTACCTGACTTAAACTCCTTAGATTTCAGCTATTTTAAATGAAGCACAAGATAATTACAAATCTGTTTATGGTATAATAAGGACATATTCTTAAGAAAGCTTTCTTTTGTGTGTGTTCGTGCTGTCCTCTTATTTCTCCGCCTAGAAATCAAGATATCCCAAGGATATCCATGAAGCATGCTGAAACTGGAAAAACAGCCAGCAAGTACCTGCTGAGTCCTCTTAGATCAGTTGCAAACGTCAACAGCTTTCCTTATTTCAGTCATTTCCTCTTCACAACTATTAAAACAT